TAATTTCTCATGGAGTGGCAGACCTAAAAGAGTACCAGGAACCATGGCACTGCAGAAAACTAGAGCATGCGCAATTGCAAGGTCCTTAAGGCCCAGATTGGATCGGAGCCGATCAAAAGAGCTCCTTATGCTTGCGCTGTCGCAGCTTTTTTTTATTAGGTTTTGCGAGGTCAAGCTTTTTTTATTAGGTTTTGCGAGGTCACATCAGATCCTTAGGTTATGTTAAGTTGAAGTGGTTGCCGATGGACACAACAGCACACTTAGGACCACTATAAAGCCCGTTTGGTACCACAAGATATCTCGTTAAATACCAGAATGTTGAGTTTGAAAATTTGAGCAATCGCCTGATCTCTCTGACTGCTATTTCGTTCAGGTTCCCAATGGTTTTAGCGCCCTAGTCTGAACCCTAGTCTGCTCTTTGCCAGTGCGGTATATTAAAAAAGTAGGTGCTTTACTGATTCAGGCTCCTCGTCGCCTCTTCAGCTTCTGCAGAATCGCTAAACGGCACCACTTTTTCGTCCCCATAATATCTGTGATCATCAGACCCGTAGTGTTCTGAAAGATGCTGTCCAACTTTCGCTTGACTAAGATTAAAATTCATTGGATCGTACTTAAATACAACCCTGAGAAAACCTTGTAGTGAAGTTTGTTCTAAGGTTACGCATATGTACATATGTATGTATGTGTGTACTAGGGATGTTACGAATGTCATATTTTTTTACGAATTTTCGGAATGCGAATGTGCGAATGCTAATACGAATTCGAATGTTAGGAATAACATTAAAAAAGCTATAATCAACTTAAGTGATGATTTTTATTACTTAAAAAGTTTGTAAATTATTAAAACATTGAACGAGTGCTTAACCTATACAGTATTTTAGTCTAGTAGTCAAAGTTCAAAAGGGTGTATCTATTATATTTCAAAAAAGTAATTTTGCTGCCTTTTCTCACATGAGGCGATTTCTTAGAATGCTTGAATTACTTGGAATGCTGGCGGGTGGAGCGATGAAATATTTGCGGGCCAGTAGCCCGTTTCTGTAACTTTTCTCTACCGATTATTTCTCTACTGGTAACGAATATACGTCACTCTCTACTACTCATTAGTAGTAGAGAACAGGGCGGCGAATTCATATCTCAATTCGCCTTTCTAGAGAATTGTTATAGAAACGAGCTACAGATCTGTTAATTTGTGATTAGTTCAGTCTTCCACCAATCCTTGAATTGAGCTTTAATTTCATATTTTTTTAATGCCTCCAGATTCTACGTCCGAGCTTTCGCTTCGCTTTTCGCTGGAAGAATCTAAAATTATTTCTAGGTTGCTTATAAGTCTTTGAGGGCCCATCAATTTGCTTGATATACTATTTAACCGTTTAGCGCCTGAAGCTAAACGCCGGATATTGTCCCAGGTTAGACAGACTTAGAGCCATTTCAACAATATTAGAGTGGACTCTCTGCCCATGTACACAATCGCATTCGCAAAACATTCGTATCGTTAGGTGCGAATGCGAATGTATAAAATGATGTGAATCATTCGCAAAACGAATGCGAATGCAAATATTCGCAACATCCCTGATATGTACATATGTTTATTGAACTATAGTAAGAAACAACAAGCTACTCTAAGAATGTGCATACCCTTAATACCATGGGTAAGTGGCATACAAGTTTACCCGAAATATGGGGCTAATAACTTTTTGGCGGCCGCTGTGGTGTGGTGGTAAGCAGTGTGCGCTTCCACACCTGTGTTCAAGCCCTGTTGAATGCTACTACTTCGAAGCTTCGATGATTTTTTGCAATCCAGTACACCAATGAAAGTGAGTGACTTGGAGAGTGTTAGTATGGGCTTGTTCGAGTTGCAATCACAGCCGCAGTGTTGCGCGAATTATCACGTTTTGTGTGAATTTTTAGTACGGCAAAAATGCCGCTTTTATTACGTGGCTCGAACGTGGCACCAAAGAAGAGAAACATTTCACAGTAGAACCTTCGCATGGCAAATTACAGCGCCAACGTACATCTATGGATGGTCACTATGCGTGTGCGGTACTGAGTCCACTTTGGTCCATGCCTGCCAGATATCAATCGTATTGACCATGATAAAAACATAGCAAGGTAGAACCGTTCTCTCAATTTGTCGGCCATGATTTTTTTTTGAAGTTTGCCAACATTTTAAAATCATATAAAAGTGAAAATAAAAAATTGAAATTGTTCGAAATTGTTGTTGCTTGAGATTGAAAATGAAAATGTGTGTGTGAGTTTGTGAGTAAATTTAAAAATTAAATTGTTTGGAAACGTCAAGAATTTTAAAAGTGACTCTCAGCGGTTCTACCTTACTATATTTTTATCATGGTATTTACCACACCCACTTTACTATATAAGCAAACAAATTTAATTTTCGAAATCAATTCTTGTGTCGATTCCAATACAGAAGCACTCCATTTATAGTTGATCTGTGGACCCGTCATGCATATGACGACATGGTAGCGGCAAAAAGTTTAAGATCACAAAAGTGGCGTAAGTGAAACGTGATCACTTGCATTTGGAAGATTTCTACTGGTTGTGGTGTTTGTATGGCATTGGCATGGGCTTATCGGTTGTGGTTTAATACCTTTTTTTAACTCAGCTTTTTTTTAGGTAAAAAAATAAATAATAAAAAATCAAAAATTTTAATTTTGAAGGTCATTTTGAAGATCTGATTAAACGAAAAATTACCTCAACCTCAAAACCAACCTTTAACAATAAAATTTTCGAATTACTTTCTTTTTTACAGCATGCGCCAACGGCTAGATGAGCTGGCAAAAAACCAAGGAGGATTCCATTTTCAATTTAAAAATAGTGTATAAAATAAATATACTTAACCCTCAAACCGGCAACTTTGAAATAGTGATCAGAAATGGTTGGGAATGTTGTCATCTATATACCATTTTGTCGCTTCGTTTGACTTCCAGGTGAGATAAACGAAACAGTGCCTCCAGGCACTCATATCGGTTAAAGCAAAATATATGAACAGATAGAAATTTTATTAAGTACCAACGGTTTTATTCCATCAGCTATGAAGAATTGTGCAAATTCTGGCATTGCATATTTCCCGGGGCAATACTTTGTTACCAGCTTATGAGATGGTAACAAAATTTACCGGTTACAAGAATACACAGAATGCGAAAAAGGTTTAAAAATTGACAGGAACTTTATTTACCGGTTACAAACTTTTTATTACCAGCGCAGAATAGACCTGTTAAAGAAGCTTTTTAATGAAGTTATGATAATTTTATTCAAATTCGTTGACCAATTAATTTCCAGGGCATATTTCATATAGCTCTAATTATTAGGGCAGAGCTTCAGCCCTCATAAGCGGGATAAACTGTTGAAAACCGCAAACGTTCGGTGTGGAGCTTCATCTTGTATTAAACTGATACTATCGAAAAACTATCGTTGGTTTTGAGCAATAGTCAGTGTTGCCAGAACTTTTTGGGCCGACCGGCTAGATTGGCAAAAAAAAGCGGCTAAAATGTTTTAGTGAAAATTCACATGCTTTATTTAAATAAATCACAAGTAACGAAAGACTAGTTAACACCATTAATTTATATCGAGTGTGTATTCCTCATCATCAAATGAATCACTATTGTATGTATCACCCGAATTCATTAATTTTAAGAGATCTTCATCTACAGTAAAATTGCGGCAGCATTTTTCTTCACGTTTTAAACCGTATCTTATATATAAAATAGCGTTTAACGTTTTAACGCACATTGGATTTCTTTGCTTAGTTTTTATTATATTCATTGAACTAAATATTCGCTCTACTTCTGCATTACTTATAGGCAAAACAAGAAAACTAAAAACTAGGTTGCAAAGGTCAGCAAAAGGGTTTTCTCCTAGGGCATTTCGAAATTGATAAACTTCGGCCCAAAATTTTACAGTTGAGTCTAAATTACTCCAGGTATGTAACGTTAACCGTTGCCATTGCATCTCTATGGATGTTATTTCGTCGGCATTATATTTGTGTTTTTGTTGCTGTAGTTGAACAAATACTTTTGGTTTAATTACTCTTAATGCATTTCCAACCGAAAAAAAGTCAATTTTTTTAGTGTGGCAATATTTGTAGGGAGGCGTTGGCGTAATTCCTTTATTAAAGTGATAATAAAATAGCGACCATTTTCTCGAATTATTTTCTCGGCTTCGTGGTCAAAAGCGTTTGTGCTTACTTTTGTTTTTAAATACTCTTCAAAACTGTGATAAAACTGAGGAAATGGAGCAAGGTATGGTTCCAACGGGGAGCATATAGGATCAAATGTGTCCGCGCTAATAACCACTAGGGAGCATAGATGCGAAAGTAAAACATTGAGTTCATTAAAAATCTTCATTGGGTCTGCAATATTGCTTTCGAACAACTTGTTTACTTGTTGCACCTGAAAATTAGGCAAATAGTAAAATCGGCTAAAAACGGCTAACTTTTTTTTTACAAACCGGCTAACAAATCGGCTGCCGGCTAGATCGAATTTTCTCCGGCTAGTTGCTATCAAAACCGGCTAAATCTGGCCGGAAAACGGCTAAAATGGCAACGCTGGCAATAGTATCGGAAACTATCAATGGCTCGGACTATCGACAGTTTTCCAGTCCTACTTCGAAAGAAATTATATAAATGCTTTCTTAGATTTTTGTAACCATGGCAATGAATGCCTTAACACAAGAACGGCAAAAATATGTATTTAGAACTTTTTATAAAGTACATAGCAGACTGGCTTCAGGCAAAAATAAATAAAAAAATTCAAACCCTTCTAGATTTGGTCGAAGTAATTCTTTGATCCAACGAGACAATTTTGGGTTAATTCTTCACCTTAAAAGCTTCAAAATATCTTTCTATGGAACACAAAGGAGAAATACTCTACTGATTGCTGCTAAGATGTTTAGTCACTCGGCATACTCAAATACTAATGCAGATTTTTTAGCGCAAAAACTTACACTAGGTCTACATACATATGTATAAGTAGATTATCCTCAGTTAATTTTATCGATCATTTTTGCAAAGAAGAGGAGAAATGTCAAGTGTGAAAGTAAACCAAAATGGAAGCTAGCAAAAGAAGAGCTTTGTAAAGGTATTTTCAATAAAATATTAAGTTAAATTGCTTAACATAGCAGAAAGAAACTTAACTTTACTTGCAGTTTTGAGAACAACAATCACAACAAATTTGACGGCTAATAATCTGAGATTTTTAATCCATAATTTCATAAAGCGTCACAAAGTGGCATTTTTGGCGAAACGGTAACGTTGTTAACAAAGTTGTATGAACAACAAGGGATCGCAAAAAAATCGATTAATTAATCATATGCTTAATCACAAGCCAAAAAAATTAATTGCAATTATTGAGAAATAATCGATTAATCGAATTTTTAAAGGCATTTTTTGCAGTGAGTGTTCACAAAAACATTTTTCCATAAAAAGTTTCTAATTTGTTAATAAGAGCGTGTGTGAATCGATAAAATCGCTTTTATTTCTGTCAAAAAAGATTTAATTTCTCACAACAGATTGGCAAAACTGTCCGATTTTACATGGACGAAAACACAAGTTTTATCTGTTTCCATAAGATCATCTGCGCATATTACTTCATTTCGCAAGAATTTCATTACTGAGGCCAATGCAAACGGATATTTGAAATAAATTTTTGTGAACCTGTGGTCGAGTAAAGTTGATGCAGCTAGCAAGAAATCCATGGATGGATTTTAGACAACTACAAAATTCATACTGTTTGAAAATATTTTTACGATTATTATACTATTAATTGATTAATAAAACACAAAACTACGATACAACTAAATCGTTCATTGGACAAAAATAATCGATTAATTTAATCAAATGATCCATCCCTATGAGAGACCTATCGCAACTCCGGATTACAAAGTTTTTACAATTATATTTTAAAGCAGCCTTAACTGGTGGCAGTAAAGTATCAGCAACAAATGCAGTATGGCTCTGATTTTCAAAAAAAAAAAAATATTGGGATCGATAGAGATTAATGAGCTGAGTATAACGGTGTACTCTTTTTTTAGCGGAAACAACAACTACAAAAGTTATTTATTTATTTATTTATTGGCAGCTATAATCTAGAAAATATAAACATTGCTTTACAGACTATTTACAGTTAACAATTGCAATGTAATTACTAATTAAACTAGTTCATTCAGTAACTGCTTAAACCCAGGTTTAGGTAATGAAAAATCAATGTCGGCAAAATTTGTGAGCGTATTAAATTCCTTCATCGCTCTGGCAATTGGCGCATTAGAAGCATATATGTATTGTTCTTACTCGATTAATACAAAAATATCATGGTTTCGACGGCGAGTCAATCGCCCCACGTATTACTTCAAAAACAAATGTCAGTGAAAGGATAGTTCTTCTACTCAAAGGTCAAAGTTCAAAATAGCATTTTTTAAATCAATATTTCTCGAAGACTTTTTCTGGGATTGTGAAAATGGACGATGTCATTCAATAGAGAATTTAATTCTTTTTAGTTTGCTATACATAAAAAAATGTTAACAAACCTATTTTTTATCACCCTATTACTTATATGCAAAAGTTCTAGAATTAAAAAGGAAATGTATCAAACTTTTATTTGATAGTATATAGTATGCAATCAATAGTCCTCATTTTACAAAGTACGGCTACGCTATCCACGGTATTTTTAGAATTAGTAGAATTATCTTTATGTAATGCGAAGAAAAGGCGCTTAACACCATAGAAAATTAAACTGTTAATACATAAATATGTACACCAAATTAAAGAATTTTTCAAGCCCTCTCAATTTTAACTATACTTATAAGTCCTCAATAAGAGAATTAAAGACAAGGGTTTGTAAACTTTTTTTTATAATTATTTTACATTAATTGAATTTTTGTAAGAACTATACAACATGTTGCAAAAAAAAGTATACCGTTATACTCAGCTCAATCATCTCTATCGATCCGAGTATTTTTTATTTTTATTTTTTATTTGAGAGTCGGAGCCATACTGCATTTATACCAAATATCATGTGTTTCGCGACCTTGAGTTTGCAATGATTGCCAGCTCCAATATTAGCTTTGTTTCTTAATGGATAATTATCACAAATCACTAATTTCTGCCGGAAAGCGTTTCTTAACCCAAAAAACAAGCAGAAACTAGCAGCTCTCTCTCGTTCTTATTTTTTTGGCCCTCCTGCTAATTTCTGATAGTCAAATTTTTACTAACAGAAACCAGCAGCTGTCAAAATGGATAAACAAAAGTTCGCACCAAATATTTTCAATAGTCAAATACATCGATCAGCTGTTTACTTGCTAGTTTTGCGTTGCTTTACTTTTTCTTTATTTTGCTCTTTGAGCGTAAAAGCAAAAGTACACAACTTCCATTGCGTCACCGACACTGTCACCGTCTTTGCCAGCGTCAACGGTGCTTATGCGGCAAGTTACACACTATCCGTACATCATTGCGCCCGCAAAATCAAAAATTCACTGCTACTCCTTGCAAAAATTGCGTTTTTACTTTTCCTTCTCCTATTTTACATTTCTTATTTAAATAAATCCAAAATCTTTCACAAACTAAAAAAAAATTAGTTCAAATATGTAAGCAAAACACGGAATAGTTGTCACTTGACGCAGACGCATAAGCCAAGTTGAAAGTTGAGCTAAGTTGTGCGTCACCGTCACCGTCAGCCTTGTTCATGTAAATTATTTCATACAAATACACCAGTGCAACTTTTTTGACAACTGACGGTGACGCAATGGACGTTATGTACTTTCACTTTAATTCCCTCAACTTTCCCATTCTTCTTCTTCCTGATAATTATCTGTTAAAAAAGAAAAGAAACAAAGCCAGAATCTCACACATTTCCTATCAGCTGTTGCGTCCCGTCCCATGACCCATTGTCGAATTTGACAGCTCTCTTTTACCTTCATGTTTATCCACACCAGTGTTGTAGGTTGCCTAACCTAAAAAGGGATGAGCTGTGGCCTAAATGGAACCAAAAGCTGTTTGTTGAGTGAAAAAGTGAATTAAAAGGTACAATTTCAACATGAAAAAATAAGTACATACTCCCTCCTTCGAACAACAAACAATGCTATTAATTTTATTAGATATGATTATCATCCGGAAAAAAATAAAAATCTACTTAGCTTCTTGATTAAAATTAGCATCGCAACACTGGTTTGCAATCGTTCGGAGCTGTCGTCTTCATCTGTTTTGAGGCGAACGAGCGTGGGCAGCTCAAAACGATAAACGCAAATCAAATGACAGTAGCAATAGTCGAAAACGAGGCATTTGTTTGGTCAGAAGAATAGTAAAATAAAAACAAACTCCACAAAATTTCGTGGTCCAAAATCCAGCAAAGCCAGAGAACTTGGAAGGCAGCAGGGCGCATAAACAATCAAACGTTTCAGCCGCTACTGTGGTGGTGATAGAGGAACCTAAAACAGAGAGCGATTGCACTGTGCTTCGAAACATGAAATGCGATTGAGGGGGCTGCCGGCGGCGTATTGTGTGGAGCACTGAAGTGGCTGGAGGCACGACAAATACAACGACAACGTCTGGCTGGGACAGACTTTGGAGTAGAGAGACCAAAGCAAAGGGAGCGAAAATTTTCAGTTGATTTTTGTTGTTCCGCGAGTGCTGTTGGTCGAGAATTAAACGCGCACGTCTGACGGAAACTTTATATGTATATAGTGCCAAATCAGATGGAGAAACGCCATACAAAGAAATATCACCAATTTGTGGCAGTGGAAAAAATATAGAATCAACACAAAAAGAAAACGTTTGGCTTACGAAACCGTAAATAACTAAATTGTGTTTGGATTAAGGCGTAATTTGGTGAGTGAAAGGGTTGATAAAAATGAAGAAAATTGTATATATTAGTGAGATTTCGTTGTTGTTATAAACGTTTGCAAGTTTCCGCTAAGCTATTGATTTACCAATAAAAGCACGTTACTGGCAAACAGCTTCACAAGCAACAAACAACAGCTATCATCACCTTGAACTCGCCCAGCAACAGCCTTGGACATTGTTGGATTTGGAGGCACTATCGCTGATGGAACTTCCATCGAGATATGTACCTACAAACATAAATACGTTGTACATTAATTATTTCACACACTTTTATATATAAGTATATATATAAAATGTGCAGAAGAATGCATGCTATAAGAATTAATTGGATTGATGTTTCTAATTTTCACTATGTGCATGGATTTCATCAAACTCTCAATTATCACGAATGCGCTATGTATTCTTTCACGTCACAGTGCCAAATTATCACTTAAAAATATGTATAAGCATATGCAATAAATGTATGAACGCTAGTTTATAAATTTTTCTATAAATTTTACTAGCGTCGATTGTGTCCCGCCTCCTCAGCAGCTGCTGCTTTGCATGATCCATCGCTATGCGGAAGTTCTGATCAATTTAATTTATTTATTTCTATCAGATTTTTATTTTGCAGTTTGTATACTATGTAATGATTTGCATATTTTTCAAAGTTGGATATATGTACATACATCTTTTGACATTTAATTGTGAATATTATGCATATTTTATTGAACATTAATAAGCGCTGTGCAGCCCTCATATACATATGTATGTAGGTACGTATGTACATATGTATTTCAATTGACCAATTGAACCCGCGCAGTGGTGACAACATGAAGGAGAAAGTAATCAACGCCGCGGCTATTTTGTGTTGATATCTACAGCAGGCATATGATTTGCTTTTATTTATATACAGAGTGTTATGTACATAAATATGCCTGTATGTTTGTATATACATCCATATATACAAACATGTACATATGTAGCAATTGTATTCAGACCCTGCGGGAAAATCTTGAAACAGCGCGCGAATCACCTGCATTATGAAATGTCTTTAGTAAACAAAAAATTTTAATATATCAATAATAAAGTATCTCAAATGTAAAAGACTGTTAAATTACGAGGCTCTTAAGAAAATACAAGGCGACCTAGTGACCGATATCCAAAGCGTACTAAATTGCCACCCTAGTGCAACGCTGAAAGTGGCGGAGGAGGACTTGGGTTCATTTGGCAATTTCAATTGACGCCAGTTGGCCCGGAAGAAGAGCGACTGGCGTGCTCTGATATACTCGGCCAAAATCGCTTAGGCGGTTACAGCGCCAATATAAAAGGTGTCTGTTGATGTTGGTAAAAATCACAATGTTCGTATATACATATGTACATACATAACCTAGCTGATTTGTGGTGGGTTGAAAGAGCAGGCGGTGGGTGTTTGTATGCTGTTACAACAAAAACAACCAAATTCCCCAAAGAGTTTTTGGGGTGTTGGAGGAATGACAGTCCTAGGTTATATAGACCCGACTGTCGTGGAATTTGTATACTGATACAAAGACTGTCTCCTAACTTTACCGCTAATTGAAATCGGTCAGTCTGATTAAAAGACCTTACAAGAATTTGACCTAATTTATAAGAAGCATGACGAAAGTTTATTGCTATTGTTTTTGTTGTTCTTGTGGCAGCATACAAATTCCCCTAAGAGTTTTTGGGGAGTGTTGCTATTGCTGCTTCACAAACACAACGATCGAGTTTGAAGAAATTTCTACTTCAGCTGGTGCTGAAAATTCACGCCAATTCTTTCATTCGCTTTTATTTTTGTAATTAAAGCCCTTACTACAATGCGCTCACTCGAATATCAATTAAAGCATATGTACATATGTATGTACACACATACACTGGGGTGCAGAAATGAGTACATGGTAATTTTTGTTAAATACATATTTGCAATGTTTTTAAAGTTAAAATTTGTTGTTATTTTGTCATAAAAATATGGTGCATGCTTTAAGTAAAATCACCATATAAATCAAACTTTATTCAAAGCTTAGAAAAATTTTACAAATTTTCATTAAAATTTTGAGCTTTTTAGTCTGATTTTTTTTGAATTTTTCTGAGTATATTAAGTGCAGTTTTAAGCGGCTGCAAAATCGCGTTGTTTTATTTATATTTTTCTGCTGTCGGCTTTTTAGATTTTTTTTTTTATATATTTAATAAGCGCAATTTATAAAATTGGCGTTGATTTTTTCTAATTTTTTTGCAAGCGGTCTTGCGTATTTTCTTCCATAAGAAATTCAAGTTTGCATGGAAATAAGGGCAAAAAGCCGTCAGCAATAAAAAGAATATTAAAAATCAACACGATTTTGCAGGCGCTTAAAATTTGCACTTTATTATACTCAAAAAAAAAAAATCAAAATTTTTATGAAAATTCATTAAATTTCTTTAAGCTCTGTATAAACGGAAAACCTTTGCAGCACTGCATAGTTTTCGACGATTTTCGTTGTTTACTTATTTCCGTACGACAGTACACAATGTCAAAGTTGTTGAGTCGCACAATTTAGTCTGTTTTACGACTTACGCAATAAGGCTGATGGCTTTGGTTAAAGCATGAACCATATTTTCATGAAAAAATAAAAAATAAAAATTTGGCTTTAAAAACTTTGCAAATATTTAACAAAAATCACCATGTATTCATTTATGCTCGCCACTGCACATGCATTCATATGTACATATGTAAACATGGAGTGCACATAAGGATGCATCACCAAAAAAAACAATTGGGGTTTTCCACCAGAATTTTAAAATTTATTATAAATACTTTAAAACTTCCAACAAAATATTTTGGAAAAATATTAAGTTTCATGTGAGTTAGACCGATTTGAAAATACCTCCAAAAATCTGATTATCTTAAATTTTTTAAACATTTTAATACAGACCTTTTAAGCGCAAACTCTTCTGTCATCTGATGTGAAAAAATAAATTTTAAAACTAATTTTATTTATAAATAAAAAACTATTTTTAGAGTAAATTAAAATTTTTAAATTTTTCCGAAAAATTTTGTGCGAGATTTTAAAATAAAATAAATTTTATACTTCCGATTGAAAATGAGTACCGATTTTTATACCCGAGCGCACTTGTGCACAAGGGTATATTAATTTTGTTCACATAACGGTTGTTTGTAACAGCCAAAACGAATCGAGATAGATATAGACAAATGTATACATAAATGATCAGGATGAAAAAAGAAATCGATTAAGCCATGTCTGTCTGTCCGTCCGTCTGTCCGTCTGTCCGTCTGTCCGTCTGTCCGTGTACACGATAACTCGAGCAAAAATTGAGATATCTCAACGAAATTTGGTATGTAGGTTTCCCTTAATCCAAGGTAGGTTGGTATTGAAAATGGGCGAAATCGGACTTTAACCACGCCCACTTCCCATATAACGGTAATTTCCAGAAATACGAAAACTGCGATATTTTAGTAACTACTGAAGATAATTCACTCAAAATTGATATTTACAATAATTTTTAGACGAAAAATAAGAATATTATAAATTTTTGGAAAATGGGCGTAGCCACGCCCACTTATGGTTACATGTGTATATCTTGGTAACCGCTGCACCAATTTCTTCCAAACTTGGCACAGTTGTTGGCCTTGGTACAGCATAAAAAACCGCCGAAACTTTTTAAAATCGGACAATAACCACGCCCACATCCCATATAACGGTAATTTAGAGAAATACAAAATCTTCGATAAATCAGTAAATATTGAAGCTAATTTATTCAAAATTGATGCTTGCAACAATTCTTTACCAAGAAATACGTTTATGGTAAAATTTTGGAAAATGGGCGTGGCACCGCCCACTTATGATCACATATAAGTATATCGGTAACCGTTCTACCAATTTGTACCAAACTCGGTATGGTTATTGTACTTGCCACGTATAAGCAAAACGTTGAAAATTATTGAAATCGGACTAAAATAACGGCCGCTTCTCATATAACGGTAAATTTCAGAAATGCTTGAAACTTCAATATTTCGAAATTGAAGGACGCTAATTTACTCCGCTTACCATCTAGCGGCAGGTTTCGGAGAGGTGAAAAAACATATTTAATACTTGCGCCGGGTATTTAATGTTCGGCTCCGCCCGAACTTAGACTTTCTTACTTGTTTTTGTATAGGGATGCACCCTAATATACATATGTATATAAATTTGTTTCACGTTGCAATTTAACGAAAGGTACGAAAGTATTTTATTTCACATTGATTGCATTCAAGCAGACATAATTTGAATTTGAATAAAGGGTGTCACCTTTAGTAATATTTACTTCATATGTACATACATACATACATACATATATACCAGTAGGTTAATTTTTACGTTAACGCTTATACAGCTTTAGAAATACCAGACTTTGGGAGTTAATTTTTCATGATTCTTAGACCTCTGGGTTTTTAATAAACCCATATATAATATGATATTATCTATAAATCGTCGCCTGGGTAAAAGATTGTCGTATGTTAATTTCGGCAGGTTGTGGGAAATCGCGATTGAAGTTTGGAATGCAATTTCTCGAAAACGCGAAGATAGATTTTCTCCAAAAACTCTGAAAATGTTATTAGTTCACAAAATTCTTAAATTATTTCATTTTTAATGTTTATTGTTAATTAGTTTTGAGTTTATGAAGGAGTTTCTTTAGTAAAATTTTGTCGTAAGCGTCATTTGTCCACAATTTGGCAGCCACTTTGTNAAAAAAAAAAAATCAAAATTTTTATGAAAATTCATTAAATTTCTTTAAGCTCTGTATAAACGGAAAACCTTTGCAGCACTGCATAGTTTTCGACGATTTTCGTTGTTTACTTATTTCCGTACGACAGTACACAATGTCAAAGTTGTTGAGTCGCACAATTTAGTCTGTTTTACGACTTACGCAATAAGGCTGATGGCTTTGGTTAAAGCATGAACCATATTTTCATGAAAAAATAAAAAATAAAAATTTGGCTTTAAAAACTTTGCAAATATTTAACAAAAATCACCATGTATTCATTTATGCTCGCCACTGCACATGCATTCATATGTACATATGTAAACATGGAGTGCACATAAGGATGCATCACCAAAAAAAACAATTGGGGTTTTCCACCAGAATTTTAAAATTTATTATAAATACTTTAAAACTTCCAACAAAATATTTTGGAAAAATATTAAGTTTCATGTGAGTTAGACCGATTTGAAAATACCTCCAAAAATCTGATTATCTTAAATTTTTTAAACATTTTAATACAGACCTTTTAAGCGCAAACTCTTCTGTCATCTGATGTGAAAAAATAAATTTTAAAACTAATTTTATTTATAAATAAAAAACTATTTTTAGAGTAAATTAAAATTTTTAAATTTTTCCGAAAAATTTTGTGCGAGATTTTAAAATAAAATAAATTTTATACTTCCGATTGAAAATGAGNAATTTTGTCGTAAGCGTCATTTGTCCACAATTTGGCAGCCACTTTGTATGTAATACGACAAAATGTGACCAAAATTTCTACCAAATTAACGACACTTTTTATTCAATATCTCGGAAACTAAAGGAGATTTCCAAAAATGGAGAACGCCATTTTTAAGATATTGATTAGTTTAATATGACTGCATCACCAACTAAATTTTTACTAAATTATCGAAAAAGTTGTAGTCAATATCTCGGAAACTAAAGGAGATATCTAAAAACTGATAACACCAATAGAAAGACCTTATTTCAAAATATATAACTGCATCTAGAACTAAAAATCGTCAAAATCGCGCTTACGACAATCTTTTACCCAGGCGACGACATCTGCATCTAATTTCTCATTCTCAGAACCTCCCTAATCATGAATTGATCATGAATTTCGTGTAGCAAAAAGAAAAAAATGAGTTAGTACCAAAGTCCCCGGAAATCGGGGAATTCCTCACGAGTTGTCTTCCCCGTAGTCTGCTGAAAGCCTCCTTGAATGCGCACACTTACATTCACGATTACATACCATACATCATTGTATACATATGTCTATGTAGATATGTATGTATGTAAATATGTACATTAGTACCTACGTAGATAAGTTAAAGCTAAGATATCAGTAACTTCTAGAATTTACCCATTTTATCAGAAAAATAACAATGCAATACATACACATGTACATACATATATGTACCGTATCGTAAAATAATATAGATACATAATTAAGTTGTTTGTAAATATGTAACACTAATCGCATCTGGGGATTAGGGTGGATCGCAAAATTTATTTTTATTAAAATCAGCCCAAATTTGATAGTTGTATTTTTAGTTTTAAGAACCTCTGACTTTGTCACGACCCACAGTGTTTCGACTATATGGAGGCAGGTGGCAATAATAGTACACCTGCACCGATTTCACTGAAACTTGACATGTGGTCTGGTTTTACTTAAAAATAGAGATGTATGAAATTTTGTAAAGATGGAATAATTTCCACGCCCTCTACTGTGTGGGCGGAAACATTAAATTTCATCCGTTTTCGATGAAATTTAGTTTGTCGTCTTTATTTTATTAGAAAAACCTAAATATAAAATATGGGGAAGATTAGATCACTCTAACGTCCAAAACTACACTGAGAAAAGAAGAAAGGAGAAAAGGCCCAGTCATTAAATGTGATGGAATTTTGGTTAATTTTTGTTTCCTGCTTTCCTCTCTCAGAAAACAAAGGTTATACTATAAATTGACTTAGGTGTAAATACTCGCTTTTTTACCAATATTTGGTGAGATTTTTTCATTGTTCGAAAAATTCTTTTCGCGAAATTATGCTAAAAGAAGCTGAAAATCAAAAATTAAGAAAATCAAAATTTACTTATATTTGCAAAGTCGCGCGGAAAGATACAATTAAATGTTTGAAAACTACATGAAATTCTCTACAACATTCGTCTAATTTCAATACCTAACGGACCGGTACTCACACTTTTTTTTACTAATAATCTTTAACATCTACATTTCAAAGTAAATTTTTTTGGTTAGAAAATAGGAAAGTACCAAATAAATGATAAATATCTTCACCCGAATATTCCACGACATTTAAATAATTGATTAGAGTTGAAAAACAAACACTTTCTTTAATGGGTTAATCGCCAAAGGCAACTAAACTGATTAGTCGGTATCGCGTCCATTCCCGTATATTTTTTTGGAAATGTATCGTTCGTGAAGAAAGGGGGTGAGTAAATAATGTAAAATTTGGTATTATGACTTTTACTTTTCCCCCCCTAAGTCCAACAGGTTTTTTTTTATAAACTGTCACCACGACTTTTTTCTACCTGCCTCCATATAGTCGAAACACTGTGCGCCCCAATATACAGCCAAAAAGTAGAATAAAATTTTATGAAAAATTAGTTACTACACTTATCAGCCTTCTCTCGTAAGTGTATGCATATTTATAAATGACTAAGCAGTAGTCTTTTTCGCGAAAAGATTCCCTATTTATCAAATCGAAATTCGCGAAATTCTCTACTCTTGTTAATTTCCTTTTTAGCATTCCGTCTTATCAGCGTCTAATGAGCCTCACGTACATGTGCTTTTATTTACAAATTCGTGATCCATTGATAAACCATATGTATACATATTTATGAATGTATGTATGTTCACATGTATGTATGTGTCGGGTTATCCTCCATGGCCGGATCATTCTGTGCCGCCGGAGTAGTGTTTTGTGCTGCCGGAATAGCAATCGGAGCAACCTCCACCGCCGGAACAGCTCCAAGATGTGGAAGGATAGCTCCCACTTCTAATTGTGCCGGAGTAGCTTCCATGGCAGTAATTTTATTTGTATCCGCCATTTTGCATGCCAATGGCGTCGTGCTGCACTGGCCATATAACAATGAATTCCTGAGTGTTGTGTAATCGTTCGCTATCAAATGGATACTGCCTTGTTCTTCAGCCGAGTGTATTCATTCAACCAATACACTCGGAAAGTAGAACTTCAACTTCATACACAAACATTATTGTTTCACTCACTCTTTAACACTCATCAACACTCAGGACTACATTCAGCCGCAGCTTGTCTCGCTCTTACAGTTTTCCGTGACTGAACGGGTATAGTGTACTCTCACGAACTCAACAATTAAGGCGACACCATTAGAGGAGGTAGGATAGCAAGTTGGTGAACACAAATGAGGATTCGCAATTGAGACAACAGCTCGGATATTTGCTGTGTTCCAATTCATATGGAGTTGTGCATTCTATATCAACCTACCCTGGGAGAAATTTATGACATATACGACATATGTATATGCAAAAATAAATATTTAAAGATAGCGCATGCATTTCAAAAATCAAACGCTAGTTACTTTATTCTTAATAAGTTTGTGATTTATTCATTTATTAAAATGCAAATCAAGTATTTATTGTGGCTTGTGTATAAGAAAAACTACCTCAAATGCGCACCTATTTATATACATATCATAGATATTTATTATTTATACTGTTAATGTATTGATCAAACTTAAAAACCCCATCAAAAAGAGAAAAAGTGAAATATTGCCGCGACTGCCGGTTCTACGCACGGGAATGGCTTGTGGAGTTTTACCCGACCCTGCGCTGTTGTTTCGGCGGTATTGCCCTGTTTAGGCCGGCAAAGTCTCTTAAGCGTTGTTCGTCCATGGAGCAACATCTGCACCGTATTCTTCTGATCAGAGCTGGCGTCGAGCTAAACCCTGGACCAGAAACCTATATGTACCTGCTGTGTATGCCAGAGACGCAAACTCCACTTCAGTTAGATGCAATACTTGCAGCGTATGGAGTCATCTTAGTACCTGCTCAGATGTTAGAATTCACAAACAGTGGACCACGTCAATTGTGGCCCCGCGCTGCCACAGTGACGCACAACACACACGATGCACCGGTCCCACTGAACATCCAGGCTGCCTCCACGGCTCACCGGAGTTCACCCGAGCAACACAACCCCAATGCGACCACCTGTGAATATAACACAGACGATAGCACACCCCCACCTAACGCCACCGCAACCCACGAGCGAGGACAAACCAAGAGCTCCTAGTTCCTCACATATTCTGTTCGGTGTGTCGGTCCAGGATATACCGTAATGTGACATCAGTCAATTGCAACTCCTGACTTGGCTGGTTCCACTATAGGGTATATTCCGGACAGCGCATTACTGATTGATAGGCGCAGTTCAAGAGACGAAGCTGCACAGCAATTCAACATTGTTTGACTGCGGCGTATGGTGGAGGCTTATCGTTCATCATGCATCACACCGTGCAGTATCGTCTCATCGAAGCAGACATCGATCGCAGGGATGTCAGGGTACTTCTATCCGGTCAGTAGATGTCGAGTTCGAAATATTTAACGTTTACGTACTCGCTGTCAACAGCAGCATGGCAAAATATCACCCTGATATACATAGGTGCGCTTTCGCCTTTCGAACTATCGTAGGGGAATACACTTGTCTGCGCAGATAATTCATTCAATATTCTGCGCAATGAACGCCGATATAGCAATAGTAGGCGCTGGTTTGATAAACAGCATAACGTTGCGACCTAGGCTGCCATTAGCATCCGCCCATCATCGGACCTATGTCAACTTTAAAAAAGGTGATTGAAAGCACCTTCGCTGCCCTTCATACAGGTGAACGTAAGTTACGCACCTCTGGTGTTAGAAATCTCTGGTCAACCGTATGGTCACCGACGAAACGTGACGTTAGAACGGAAATCTTTTTCGGTGACCATGCCTCGTCGGACCCGGTTAGATGCGCTGCGTCATTCGGTGAAAAAAAGCCACACGCCGATTGACTAGAAGGCTGCACACATGGGAAGGCGGATGCCCCAAAGCCATTGGTTGCACGCTGATGCTGAAAGAATTGGGTCCTGCGGGAACAGACTATCTCACCAAGGTCTTCAATTTGTCTATGGGCACTCTCATTGTTCTGGATATCCTGAAAATGGGGAGTGTGATCCCACTGCTGAAACCGTGGAAGCCGGTCGATAACTCCCCTTTCCCACGTAGCGAAGAATCTAGGGTCTTGCTACTCTCCCACTTTACGTACCTTCTGACCCCAGCGAGGCATTATCATGGCTTCCGTAAAGTGCACAGCAAAACAGCAGCACTTAGCTCCATAAACACTCGGATAACTCTGGACCTTAACTGAAACCGTCCCTGTGGGAGAACAGTCCTTGTAGCATTGGATCTTCTACAGGGACTCAAACGGTGGTCTGCGAATTATCTCAGTGGTCGAAACTTGTCGGTCATTTTTAGAGAGAAAACTTCTAAACCAAGAAGAATTTAACAGGGGGTCTGACGGGGTGGTGTCCTTTCCTGTCTTCTTTTTTTTACCACATCTCGAAGCTTCCTCAACCATCAGGGGGAGTATCCATTTTCTCTTATGCTGACTATTGCTCGATAATGGCGTCCGGAAATGGAATTTATTACTTGTGCTCGAAGGTATATCTCGCTTCTTCACTGCAAGGAGCCTAACCCTCTCCCCTACGAAATCCTCGACAACCCGTTTCATAACCTGGAGCAAACAGGTCAGACTACAACAGTGAATTCACATCGACGGCAAACCAATTCCGACTGACCGGACCTAAACCAAGTCTCGGCGTGTGAATGCCGTTCAGGAAACACAGGCACCTGACTTGAACAGAACTTCGTCTGCCTCGGAAGACTCGCATCACCATAGTCCAACTTCGATCTGGATTTTGCAGCAGGTTAAACTTTTACCTAGGATAAATGCAGATGTGCGTCATGAATGTCCGACGACAACGACTAAGTGACAAGCCGATCTAGCCAGGGCTAAGTAAGCTGCTACAACAACAACAACAACAACAACAACAACAACTAAGTGAAAACTATTTACTTTCAATCTCGTATTTACTGATACTTATGTATGTGCGTATATCCTAATTTTTTTCATCTTCCACAGATATTTCGAAGGAAACTTTTTTGGACAAAATTATATGTAAACATTAATATGAAATTGGATGAAATTGTTGCATGGTAAGTAGATAACTAAAAATCAGTTTTAGTATATTATACATACATATGTACATACATGTATATATTTTAAGTATTCGTAGAACAAAATTTAGCTACATATACACTGGGGAGCAGTGATGAGTACGTGGTGATTTTTGACGTAGAATACGTCTTACCTTAAGGTATGGGGGCTATGTTCAAATGTTGTAGTTGTAATTTTTAGAGCTTCACAAAAACGCTTATTGCACGAGAACTAATAAAGCGATTTCAAAGAAAAGTGTGGCGTTTCAAAGATAAAATNTTTTTATCGATTTTGTTATCGATTTTATTATCGCTTTTGTTATCGATATTTTTTTCTTAGTTTGTGCTTTCGTTTTTGACTTGGATATGCTCTTAACCATACCACGTATTCTACGTTTAAATTTAGCGGGTGTATCTCCGATACAGCCTGCAGACCAAGACGAAGGCGCTGGACTGTTCCTTTTTTTTTAAAGCTTTGCAAGGTTTTTAAAGTAAACATGTTTAGTTATTTTTTCATAAAAATATGGTTTATGCTTTAACAAAACCCATATACATAATTCAAACTTCCAAACTTTAAACAGAGCCTATACAAATTTTAACAAATTTACATTAAAATTTTGAGACTTTTAATCTGATTTTCTAGAATTTTTCGAGTTTGCAGTTTTGTAGCCCATTAAATTTTAGTACAATAAAAAGCAAGTTTTAAGCGGCTGCAAAATTGGGAATTTGAACTTTTTTAACTCTTTTGGTTGGGCTTGGTGACGATACCCAAAGGTATGAACAACAACCACGTATGTTATCTCTTCAACCCTAGTGGTTGCATGACTACACGAAGCTTAAGCCGGACGAACCACAGAAACCAGACAAGCAAACAAGTCACCTAATGGCAAAAAATTAGCACATGCACTCCATACCGTTCGACGCTAAGCTTCGGGGGAATTTATGATTATACGAATTACTTTGAATAGATCCCTTAGGGCGCACTGCATACTTCTTTTTTATAACTATCTATCTACAACAACATCTACATATCAGCAGGAGTGACTTTACTGTACTCAGAATTTTACTACTTTTTCTTACATTGCTTTTGTCCACCGAGTAACTATAATTTCATTTTCTCTCATTTCAGGTATCAGAAAAAGATTGGCACCTACGACAAACAGCAATGGGAGAAAACAGTTGAACAAAAAATTCTAGATGGTTTTAACAGTGTTACGCTTAAGAATGCTAAGCTCAAAACAGATCTAATCGATGTTGATTTAGTTAGAGGTTTGTTAATTAGCTGCTACTTCCTTCAACGATACCCAATTCGCATTTCTTCATTACATACAACTCTATGTTTGATAGGTTCTACCTTTCCCAAGGCAAAGCCGAAACAATCTCTACTAACTGTGATACGCTTGGCCATATTGCGTTACTTCTTTTTGCCAGTCTTTGCGCGATGGTGGGTCAAACAGACATCGCCAAACACATTCGGCGTACTCTTGCTAATGTACATCACACAGATGGTGACGTGGGCGGTGTATACCTTCAATGTACATCGCTTTGGCGCCGACTCGAGTATGGTGTCTTCGGTGATGGACACAAATACTACGATGGGCAATGCTACTGCAGCGGCAGTGGATGACTTGAAGAAACGTTTGGAGGAGGAGGTAGGAGTCGAAATAACAATTGTTGGTTTCGAAACTGTGTTTGATTTTAATTTTTTTAATTTACCACAACAGCACGTCGTCTCACTTTCGGACTTGATTATACCCATGGTACTGGGTTTACTACTTAGCTTCATACATTCGCAAATAGTTGCGACCAATACCTTGAGCGGTGCTAAATCCAAGCATAGACGTTTTTCGAATGCCAGTCAGAGTGGCAAAGCAGCGCGTCAGAGTGGCGAGAGTCGTGTGCGCAGGCGCAAGAAACTGATGAGGTGAATAAGCGTCGTACTTTTTTATTTTTGTAATTTAAAATTACTTCCTAATTCTTTATAAGAAGAATTAATTGGCCAGCAAAAAAATCTTAAAACGCCATCTCCAATTTTAGATAAGCGTCGTACTTGATTTTCCAAAAAGAGGCCTTCATGTAAAATGTTATTTTATTTATTTAAACAATCTTCCTTCAGAGTTCGTAGTCAAGAGTCAACAGATGCTTCTACACAGCCACAGCAGCCTATATCGCAGCAGCAAACGCCGGTGAATGGCCAACCAGCCACATCGCAGAATTCACAGCAAACACGCTTATTAAGTGCCATGCAAAGAATGCAAGCCAATACTGAGAAGTTACCGAAAATAAACAACGCCACCATAGGTAGCAGCGCTGCCGAGGTGATCTGTGCTGCTGGTATGCCCAAGAAACGACCACCTGTGCTTCCGAAATCATCTGCAAATGCAGCGCGCGTCGGTAGCGCAGAAACTTTCAGCAATACAACCACTACTACGACGGGCATACGCCGCAGCGCCAGTCCCGTCAAACTAAAGCTTGATCTCAAAGCCGCTGCAACCACGTCAGCCAAAGCTGCAGCTGACTGCAGCAGCACCGACTGCAATACTGATAATTATAGCCCTACAAGTAGTCATAGTTTAGCAAATAAGAAACGCAATGTCAACTGGCATTCTCCAATACATAATTACGCCATGGCGAGCAGCGAAGTTGCTACGGTTACTGCGCGCACACAGGAGAAGCAGCAGCAAACCTCGCCGCAATCTCTGTCCTCACCTTCTGGCTCCGCATCGGCTTCGACAGGGACCACCACTACGACCAGTGAAACAAATTCGCCGAATACCGAGCGCGGCAACGCAGCTACAGCTCACAATGCTGCAGATGCTAGTGCGGACTGCGGTGGCGGCAGTACTACCACATCCAGCGCTAACGGCTCGCCCAACAATAAAACGGTGCGCATCGATACGTGCATACAAGAATTCTACGATGACCTTATAAGCCGTACAGATCGTCTTATTTCCGACCAACGAAAGGAACGTGCGCTGGGTGAGGGCGCTGCTGTTGCAGCTGCAGCGGAGTACAGTAGTGATTGCGCTGCGGTAGCAGAGTCACCGCGCAGCCCACGTAGGCGCCAAATCTGTGAAGATGATGGCTTCGAGAGCTTGAATGGCAAGAGCTCCAGTGGTGAAGAAATGAATATGGCGCTTCCGCCTGCATATGCAGTAATGCCTGAGCTGGTGGAAGAGAGTAAGCTACGTTTGCGTTTAAATGCAGGCAACAAAGTGGAGCGCGTGGAGGACACAAGCAGCTACGACGGAGAGGTGGGTGGCGAGAAGATTAAATAAACTCTCATAATGGGAAACTATAACATATTTTTTTTTTACTTTTCTGTCGCTCCACAGCAAACTAAAACAAGCTCATATTATCGCCTAAAGTCAATGAATGACAAATCACGTCCGGTGTCCGCATGTGACAGCCATCAGCCGACTAGGAAACTGAATGCGGCCACCGGCGCCGATGTGAGCAGTGGCGATACGGATGAAGAAGGTGATGATGGCGAGAACGTATCAAGTCCCGCCTCGCTAGGCAATGCTTCCAACTATACGGAATGCACTACGTCTGCTACGGAGTGGCTTGGCGTAACTACAAACAGTATGTTATTTCAGTACACCGCTTATTTTCTCTTAATAAGGCTTGTGGTTCGCTTGCAGGTGAAGAATGCAGCTACAGCTCGGAGTTAGAGAACTCCGATGATTACAAAAACCATCAGTTTTCAGATGAGGATGGCTATGATGGCGACTTTATGCCGACCACAATTTTAAACGCGCATGGCACGTCGGATCGCAGTGAGTATCGCGCACGCTGAGACACATATGATAATATTTACTAGATTCGGCTTTCAAATTTCATTTCTACCGCCGCTAGTTAGCTGCACGGTTTGGGAGCAGCGTGAGGTTAAGAAGGCGCAAATGTCTGTGCTAGAGATATCGTCATGCATTATCGAGCGCGTCGAGTCAATGCCGGAAACAAATGATTATATCTACATTGGCTTGGTCTTTTCATTTTTACTCTCGCTAATACCGTCCTTTTGTCGTTTGTGCGAGGTGCGCCTGCATTTCATCTGGTAAATGTTGATTTTTATATCAGAACCACTTTTCCAGGTAACCATCGACAGCACCAGCACCAACGAAATAAATTATCTCGAAGTGCCCATGCTATTATGGCAGAAGGCTTCATTCTCCTCTTGGGCAATATTTGGCTTTGCTTTTGGCCACACTAAATGGGAGCGCACAGTATTGATGATAAGTTTCTTACAGCGGCTCTGTCTAACAACAATTCTTTTCATAGTATTCGCTGTAGCAGAGCGTACCTTTAAGCAACGGTAGGCAAATGCGAATGCAATATGACAAATTGTTTGCATGTAGTAAAACTTAATTTACAGATTTCTTTATGCGAAGCTTTTTTCACATCTGACTTCATCGCGACGTGCGCGTAAATCCAATCTCCCACACTTTCGTTTGAATAAAGTGCGGAATATCAAGACTTGGCTGAGTGTGCGTTCATACCTTAAGGTATTTTCTTATATAAATGCATGTTACGTTAGTTTATGCATACTTAAATACAAAGTCATTCAACTGAAGGACAAATTAATATTTTCCATATTTCGCACAGAAACGTGGTCCACAACGCTCGGTTGACGTAATTGTCTCAGCTGCTTTCATCGTCACCTTGCTTTTGTTGGCCTTTTTAAGCGTGGAATGGCTAAAGGATTCAGTTCATCTGCACTCACACCTGAATCTAGAGGCGCTGATGTGGTCGACAACAATAGGCATCTTCTTGGTGCGATTTATGACCCTCGGCAATAAAATACATCACAAATATCGCAGCGTATCTGTATTGATTACAGAGCAAATTAATTTATATCTACAGGTATGGTTTTACATTGCACCATGGTGAAAAAGGCGTACTCATATTATGCTGTTTTTTTTCCAGATCGAACAAAAGCCGAAAAAGAAAGACGAACTTATGGTATCCAATAGCGTCCTCAAGTTGGCGGCAGATTTACTCAAAGAATTGGAATCCCCTTTCAAAATATCTGGCCTAAGCGCCAATCCATATCTTTTTACCACCGTCAAGGTTGTCATACTCTCAGCGCTATCGGGCGTTTTGAGCGAAATGTTGGGCTTCAAATTGAAGCTGCATAAAATTAAAATTAAGTAAGCCATCAATCATGTTAATACCAGAATATATAAATCAATTTACACTCCCAACGTGTTGGAAACGTACGGATTTACTAACAATTAGTGGTATTGCATGGCCAGAGTAGCAATAAAGCGACTTTTCATGTCATGTCAAGTCATGTATGTATATAAAAATATACACAAGTATGCATATAACCCCCTTATGTGAAATAAGTTACAGTGGTCTTAATTCTGCTCTGTTAAAAAATGCGATATTTTTCTAGTACAATGAACTGTGTATTAGCTTTAGGCAAATCAATAGTTTTAATTTAAACTGAAAATATACATTCATAAGAGTTAATAAAATGAACAACTACATAAATCATCACCAATAAATCTCTATAAGTGTATGTATTAATTAATTATATATTGTCTACTGAATTGTGTGATGTGTTGCAATGCAACTTGAAATTTTAGTATTGGAAATTTTCATAAAATGTTACTCAGAAGAGTAAGGACGTGTGAAATGTAAACATACAAAGCATCACATTGTAAATGCCAAATGTGCGCAATATTTTAGCATCGTAAGTTTTAAAAAAATGTCATTGAGGAAAGTAAGGGCATGTGAAATCCTAAACGTAAAAATACAAAGCAACAGTCTTTTATAACTAAACCTCGGTAGATTGTAATGCCAAATGTGCGCAGCCACGTTTACATGCTAGTTTTCAGCTAGGTAGCTTAAGTTACACTTTTGTTTCTCCTGCGGTTGAGAAATAAAAGATACTGATGTTTTGTATTCTTACATTTAGGATTCAATTCAAATTTCAAAAAATAAAAACTTACTACTGTTCAGTGGCTCATGTCTTTAATTTTTGTCGAATCCATGCCTAATCTTTTGTACTTACTTTAGCAATCCTTACTACGTACTTTAGTAAAGGATAGAAATAGATTAGGTAAGGATTATAGACAAGAGCATCTTAACAGTAGTAACAGTTTTTATTTTTTTTTTAATTTTGAATGGTCTCGTTATTGCACAGGATCGACATGCTCAGAAAAACTGGACTATTAGTAAATGTAGTTTTTATTAACATATCTCAAAATGTAGGTGTGTTGATTTGTTTAAAAAGATTAACCCCAACAAAATATACAGTAATGGTTTTAAAATAGAAGAAATTTTAGTTGATTATTTAGACGGAGTGGAACAAAAAATCGAAACTCTTAAGCCTGGCCCTTCTATGGTTGAAAATAATTTTTTACCAGTTATTTGGATTCGGCCACCTAAACTGTAGTATGTATTTTGCATTAAGAGCTCTCGCGTCTGTGGTGTCACGACGGTCGGAACAATCTAAATACTGTACATCGTGCATGCTGACAGCTAACCTAACCTAACTTAAATTTGGTGCGATGCTGAAATACCCAGTTCTCAATCTGTTTCCTCAACGATGGATATCCGGCCAAGTCATTTCACTACAGCAATTTTTACCAAAAATTTGAGACACTACTTTACCTGTTACAGCAACAACCGAAAGTCTGTTCTAAATACAGAAGTTACTGGATTTATTTCTCGTAACAACAGCCATCAAGCGATTTAAGCTAACTTTTTTATGCATGTTTTAGTGTACAAACATACATAATACTATATTCTTGGTGTCTACATTACACTTTTCTCGAAAATACTCACAATACAGTAAAAACTTTGTATAATTTTCACATTTCCAAACTATTTTTTACTGCCTGCCGTTTAAAGGAACTTCCGCTACTTAATTTCCGCATTTTTTACTGACAGCGGTGCCAACAGTTTTAAAGGCGCTGAATCAATTCCAAGCTTGCGAAATTGTCAATTGGTCCCATACTCTAGTTGGCAACACCTTCACTGACAGCTGTCACGCGCTATTTCATCTTGCGTCTTCCTTGCTCTTGCGTAAATAGTCGTCGGCGTTTTTGCATTTTTCTATTCAGTTTATTTTGAGTCGTGGAAGTGAAATAAAGTTGTGAAAGGTAAATTGGTATGGAATTATACAAAATTTGCTCAACTAAGCAAAATTTGTTGTTTCTAAAAAACTTAAAGGCTGAAACTCGAGTTGTTCAGTGCTATTTTCTAATAAAAAAGTGCCACCATACAAGGTCTGTGTTGTTTTGGAAAACTGCAATACGTATAATAAATGAAAAGCAAAATTCTCGTTTAATGTTGTCAAAAGAATAGTAGAGCAGTGAATATATAAAATATATATACACACATGTATGTATGTACAGATGTATACAATTGTGTCCATTCTAGATTTTGTCGTTCCCACCCATCCGCGAGCTTAGCAGCGCTTTCTAAAGTTTTGGGTACCATCTGGTTTATTGTGATAGCTAATTTTAATCAACTAGCAAAAAATCAGTGAATTATAAAACTTAAAAAAATAATACAAAAAATTTAATATGCATTCGCCTGTGCTTGTGAAGAAAGTGAAGTAGTGAAAATTATATATTTAAAAATTTGTTAAAAAAAATATATAAAAAGAATCATTCAAGAATCAACTTTCTGCTTTAGCAAATAAGTGAAAATTTTTTGTAGAAAAATTGTTTGAAGTAAAAGTGTGCACAATTAGTTCTACACTTTCGACCGCGTGTTTTCCCTTGCTGTTGACGTCCGCAATTACAATTTGGAAAACTTTCCCATCTTGTTTGCCGACAGACGAAAGGATACTCTGCTTCTTCGGAAACAGATTTATTGAAAGTTTCCATATCTTTTTTGACAGGTTTATTGAATGAAAAGTAAAAGATAAGCAAGGAATTACATATATAAGAAGAAGCAACGGCAACGGACTTTCATTCTGGCAGCAAAATGCTGGAGTCACCTAAATTCATTGATAATGCCAACTACCAAGGCAGCAGAGCCTTTGCCTGGCTGGCAGATATGTGCGGATTATCTGTAGATTTGGTAAGTATTAATCTATTTTTTGGTTTGCCGGTAGCTAGGTATGTATATGTTGGCCAAAGGCAGAGGGGGAACAAAATAAGAATAGGAATATATATATTTTTATAAAAATCGGATGCAAAGTCTTCAAATGCATATTTATACTTTAGATAAAATTTCAAACAGGAAAGAAAATATGTAGGTACACACATACATATTTATATATGTTTAATATATGTATGTGATCTTGCTAGACCGCATTCCATAGCGATTGCATCCAGTTCTCCACTTTAGCAGCTCATTTGTGGAAATGCTATTTGGCCCATCGCCCAAGCAGCTGAATAAACTATTCGTCGTTGGCTAGACGCTCGCTCATTCTTTACACTTCATGGCCGTCTGATGAACTGGTTAGCTGCTGATTTCGCCATGTTTTGACCATAAGGTGATAAACGAGTATGAGAGTAGTGAGGAAATGAAACAGTAAATAATGAGGCATATATGATTGAAATAATTCCTCTAGTATGCAATAGTAGCTAAGAAAAAATAATAATTTAACTTTTGATTCACAATTATTTTGCAAAAAGGCACGCATGCTGGCGAATGAGGAATTTAGTATTTCCTCTTGCACTGTAAGGGTTTTTGGTATGACCTAAGACAGTTGAATAGGTCATAAGTATATCGAAGGCTTAAATTCAATACCCTCTATCTGCAGTTTTCACGAACACCTACTTTGTGGTGTTAGAAACCATCTGGGTCTTGCCTGTCTTCACTGATGTTAATTCTGACTTCGAAATTTAATAATAAATTCTTCTACCAAGCGGTATACAAGGTCTGCATTAATATCACCGATGACAGTTAAGACTTCCCAGTAGATAATTTCAAGAGTTAAAAGCCATTCCGAAAGGCCTTCCTGAGAATCAAGAGGCCTTCCACTCTACATTCCTTTCTCCTTTCTTTTTTGTATAGAGTGGCACAAATTGAAGGGCTTCCTCTTTCGCTACCCATAGAAGGCCTTCCAGAAGGGCTTTTATAGAACGTACTTCAGAAGACCTTTTGGAGGAGTTCTTTAAAGTTGCTTCTTTAATTTATAAAAATCATACATCTTTGAAGTATTTGCTTAAGGTTTATATCAAATATGTGTTATTGTAACTTAAAATTTTTATTGGAATTCATTTGTAATGTTAAATAATATAAATTTATGCATTCGCGTAAATTGTAAATGGATAAGCCCTTCTAGAAGGCATGCAAGTAAGTGCTTTTACAGCCCTTCTTGGGTAGGACTCATAGGATGGCTTCACTTAAGAAGGCCTACCTAAATCATCTTCTGGGTTAGGTGTATTTTTATATCAGAATCTCATTTTTTTTTTAAGTGCAGATAGAGGGTATTGAATATGGACCCTCGATATGTATGTATATAATTGACTGCCAGTTGCAGCTGCATATTGAAAAAAATGAATAATGTTTTGCAGAGATGTTTGGAAGATCTAAAATAATTTAAATTCAGGCGAACAAATTTAACTGAATAATAGTCTACATCCTCGAGTGTATCCCATTTTCAAAAGTAATTGGCACAATCTTTATTACTGGCGAATTTAATAGATTTTTCAAATCGAGGAGCAAATCAGCTTTAAAACTCCGAACAAAGATCAGAATTATTGCGCTTCAGGTTTTTCTATGCAGTATTATCAGTTCATGTAATAAAGCGATAGTCATTGGCCCTGAAAAATTGATGATTAGCAACTAGCAGTGTTCTTAAGTACATATTTTCTTTTAATTTGATGCCCTCATTTGCGTTTGATTTATGTAATTACATATTACACCNCACTCATTTTTTTTTTTTTTTTTTTGTATATTACTTAGTTGTAATTTTTATAAATAATATGTATATTTAAGCTATATTTTATTTTCTCATGAGAAAATATTTCAAACAGTGAGTCGATGGCCTTAGCAGCTTGTACTCTTTATATACATTAAGTTTTGTATTTTGTATACTTTGCTTAATAAAGAATAATAATAATAAAACATATTACACACTTACTTACGTGCATACATATGTATGTACTAGAGGGCTGCATGAATGCATTCAAAACGGCTTATGAATTATTCATATATACAAAACGAATGATTCTGGCTTCAAATTTTTTTGAATTTGAGTGAATAGCTGTTCTGGTATTTGTGTCGACATTACAATATTCAAACAAAGTGAAAATAAATTGAATTGAAATAAATGACAATTTTTTGTATGAATATCCAAAAATATTTTTTCTATGCACATATGTACA